TTTTTCTTTTCTGTGATTCGTAGCTTAAAAGTAATTTCTAGTCTGATATATATCGATGAGTTCACTGGGAGAGCTAAGAGGTATGGAATACGTTACACTTGTATGGAACCATGGAATATGCATAGTTTTCAGCCCCTACAAGGTCCATTAAGCAGCTTAAGCTAGAGGGAAACAGGTAAGAACAAAGCATGGTAAGTGGATACAAGATGACTTTGTTAACAAGTATAATCATTAACCCATGAAATAGATTATTTGTATCTGTCAACTGGACTACAACCAAATAAATTTTAAGAATCACATAATCAAAGTAGATGATTTGTATCTGTCAACTAGACAATAACCAATAAATTTTAAGAATCACATAATCAAAGTAATGCTCCTACAATTTTACCAAACAGTCATACCTAGTTGATAAGAATTACCTTACAAAAAGGATGAAGATGCATCTAATTGCATCCTCAAAGCAGCATCCAAATTATGGTAAGATGCAGATCAGATAACCAACTAAAAGCAAAAGATGCAAATGGCATCGTAGAGAAGTGTGCCTCAATTAGATAACATTGTGAAGGCTCCTCGGGATTGCAAAATGCGCCAGAAATCATAAAGGAGACTTCGCACGTCCTTTTTGATAAGTCATATCAAGGAGAATAAGTTACAACAACTTCTAAAAGCCACGTAATTTTTTGCAAAGGAGTGTAAACCAAGGATGCTCATTCACTTTCTATTTAAAGGAGTGTAAACCAAATTGCACCTTTTGTGGCAGACAAACAGAGGCATGTGTAACAGGAAATTGAAAGCAAAATCAAGGGTAGTAAATGACCAACAAGAGTGAGACAAGGTCTTAGTCAAACCCTCAGAAAAAGATATAAAATTGAGAGATCCTCCCCCACTAGACTCTAGTCAAAGCCTGTCTACACAGGGAATCAGCATGCCATTAGAAAACTCTATTAAGGTGATAAAAAATCATTGCTGTTTAAGTACTGATGTCAAGTTGATGATCTACACAATGTCTGCAACCTCCACCAGTGATGCAGTTCTTGACGAGTCCACCTCTAAATATTCAGTGAGTCAGCCTCTACCCATAAAGATCCCCTAGAAGAACTACAAGAACAAGGTAAATCCAGTTCCTCAAAGCAGAGTACCCCCATGCTGATTCCTTGGCAAAGGACTTCCTCACTACTCCAGTACCAGCACTAAAGATGCTCCTCACACCACTGGGACATGGATGACCACATCAGCTACCATCGACTGTGGATTCATGACTCCCTCCAAAGGCTTCACCAGAAAATGTAAAGATAGCTCCTATAGGTCAAATACTGCAAGCCATAGTCCTCCACTCACAGTCACACACCAGGTCCAAATCTCTAATTTTCTGGAACTACTTTTAAAAAAGGGCCCAAGAAAGTACAAAATCCCCAACCTAATCACAAATAAAGCTAAAGACAAGGAGGTGCCAATTATTTAGAATTTCCATCCAAAAAATACAGCCACAAATGACAGTATAGAACCATGCTAATATGGCCAACAAGGTGACAGTCACCACAAAAGGCTCCAATTGGTGGCTGGATTAGCAGAGCAACTAAGCATATCACAGCGGACTTATAATTGCAGAATAAGACTACAAAATGAATCGATCATGAACCCTCGCTGTCGACTTTGGAAATGTGAAAAGGAAAAAAAAATTGACAGGTAGCTTCATGTGTAAGTTAAATCCTGAAGAAAACGAAGGCACCAATTTGAAGAGGTTCAATGAGACCCCATATTTGTCATGAATGATGCAACTTTTAGAGTGAAGGTAGATTGCATGCCGACATGCATGATTGCCTGCCATATGTGCTGCAGCTTCAGAGTAGTTCAGACTCGAATTGTCGATCTTCTTTGAATTATAATTATTCTAGTGCGGAAAAAAGAAAAACTGTAACCACAAATAGCATTCTAAGTTTCTAATTAAGCCACCCATCATGACCAGTCCTTTTCCAAAGAACTACCATTCAGATCAACTTTCAAAACTCTCTCCAAGGACTTACCTAAATGGGTCCTGGATCCAAATTTAGGGATTTATTGCTTTCCACCCTCTCATACATCAAGCCATTAGCCCTAAACATGTGTAAATCTTTCAGAACTAGGACCCATGAGATCAAGAGGTCACTGATTAAATGATCTCAACACCACATCATTAGCATAAGCGCCGACAAGTTTTAACTATTTCTTTGTTTTGGATGCACCAAAAATATCAGCCAGCAGTATATCTTCCAAAGAAAGCATCCACTGTTAGGCTATATTCAACTGCTCCAACATCCCAAAAAGACTCCCACTGCCTATGGCATCACCCATCTCATTTGAAATAGGTTTAAGAAGTATTGCCAAACCACGATTACAAAGGAATAATGCATCAAATGGTGATCCATGGTCTCCTCTTAATCCTGACACAAAGCAAATGTATGGGGTGGATCCCAGAGTTTTGGAGGTGGTCTCATGTGACCATGCCACTGGAGTTTGAAAGGGCACAAGGACAACTAGGATGCTTGGATGAGGTCTCATGTGAGCACGTTTCTGGAGTTTGGAAGAGCACAAGGACAACCGGATGCCCTAGACAAGGCAACCTAAGATTCCATTTCCCTCCCCCAAAAGATTTCTATGGCAGTATCTGACAAAGATTAACCCACTTCAGCCCCAGCTCCCCACACCCTTGCTTGTAAAGACTTATTCATGAGGCATCCGAGGAAACACTCCAACTCCTCTATTTCCACATTGTTCGGGTTTCTTACGAACATAGGCACCAGCTTACCCTATCGCTTCACTATTCTATGCATTTCATAACTAGGAACTCTATTCTTAAAGCTAGGACACAAAACCAAGTCCGCTGAGATACCCAGATGCTTTGCACCAAATAGGACCATTAACCTAACCCTACTCTTGGGTCCCTTCCGAATGCAAATTTTGCCCTCAAATGAACAAATCCTTCCCTATGCACCAATGTTCCCATATTATCTACCTAGCTCTGTAACTTTCTACGCATCTATACAATGATTGTAAACCCACCTTCGGCTCTTTTCCAAATCACCAATAGGATTTTTAATATGGCATCTCTATGCAATCTCAGTTAATCAGTTAAGACAAGCCCGGTGAGTCGTGGCTTGTACCTCTGACATGCTCCATTCTGAGCAAGAGATATTTTTTTCATGCAAGTTTCCTTTTGGATAACATCTTCCTCGTATATAGCACACAGATTCATAGTCTATCAGGTTTCTGCAAAGTAACTTCGAAAATCATAATCCAGTATCCAAAAGAGTAGGAACACGCAATTCCCTTATGCTATTCTCTGCACAATCTCTATTACACCGGAAGCTGCCAAGTCACACATCAGTCAACCCATTGCTCTAGAGCAAAAGCCAGTGTTTCTTGAGATGAAATTCTATAGCCTCAAACAGAGCTCCATTGGATAATATCTTAAGATAAAAGCCGGTGTTTCTTGAGATGAAATTCTGTAGCCTCAAACAGCCATTGGAGAATATCTTAAGATAAAATCAAACTTACTAAATAAGAAGAACGAGATAATATACATAATACAGAGTCAAACAGAAATTGAGCTGAAGAACCATATCCATGAAGCCATTTAATCAAAATCTCCTAACCTTTTCTAATGAGATATGATCCCCACATGTGAATCATGATTCCTAGCACCAAAGAAATTTACATGTCTGTGCCAGGAAACAAGTTGCGAAGAAGGGAGACAGTTCCATGTAGATAAAACTTGCTGATTAGGTAAGAGAAGTAAAAGATTTGGTAGTCCGAAAGCACTTAGGAACTCTTGAAAAAATAATTACAAAAGATTTGTGTTGTTATCCACACACATAACAGCACAAATTCTTCTGGATTCCTCTTCTATTTTGCTGACCATACTCTTCATTGTTATGGACTTTTGATCTTCTTTTTCACATTGAGCAGACAGCATGAAATTTAAAATCTGTATTAATTCAGTGAAATAAGGCATAATTGATTGTTTTGGCTACTCAAATGAACTGGAATATTACTGAACAATGTTAAATTTTATTCTCTCTTTATAAGAAGTGATGGCGCCGAATCTCATCCTATGTCATGACAAAATTGACACCTCATACCCATGTCTAGGAGTTTCTGCTCCAAATATATCACATAAGCTTGGACCAGTTTTGTATTTCAGATTTCCTATATTGCAGGCTGACACATACCTGCAAGTAGGTAGTCTCCTTCAGGCAATCTCTCTGAAGACTGAACCAAAAAAAAAAAGAAATGTGGACACAGAGGATGCATTCCGACTCAAACAGCTGAATGGGCGATTCGTAATAAAAAAAAGGGACCCGGAAAATGCATATCTCTTGGCATGTGACCTTGAATAAGGATGATGATTAGAAAGGTCTGCTAGATTTATTTCCTGGAAACATACCAGGATTTCCCTCTTGATGTAATGATAGTGGCAGCACCCCTCCTAACTTGCAAGCCATATTTACGTAATATATACAAAATATCTTGCTCATAGAGCAAAAAAATAAAGGAATAAGCACAAAACTACAGATTCAAAGCATGTGTCATCTGTCCATAAAACTACTGCCTCATTGTATGGTATTCCTATTGGAGACTTCAAAACTAGATAATTCGATGCTATGTAATTTGTGTTAAATTCTATCGATGTGCTAGAAAAGGGAAAAAAATAATGAATTGTCATTCTCCTATTGTCATCATTCTCAAAAGTGGGTCATAAGCTCTGCTAGATAAAGCTCCATTGTAATTGTGATGTGGGTTCTTCTTGTATATCTGAATGTGCTCAATTGTGTGTCCTTTCTTTGTGTTTTTTGGATTATATAATCGTATGCTTACCTCAGACGAAATTAGATGCACAAGGATAAAAGCTGAGGCGATTTTGGAGCGAGAAAGAACAACCATGAGTATCAGAATCAAATAACTGTGGCGTAGAGGCAAAAGAAAGCACAGAAAGGACCAAAAATGTATTTGGAACCAACCTGTGAAGAGTTTGAATGACGTGGGAACACTTCTCCTCTGAGAAACCCAGAAAACGTCCGATTTGTTGGACGCGTACAAACCTGGATCTATGATGATAGGCCTCGCCCTCTGAAACCTAAAATACAGGAATCAATCTCAGGCAATTCAAGCATTCCCCACAGAGAGAAAATTCTAATTAAAGAAGTAACAAGGGATTGAGAGCAACATACTCTTTCCAACCTATGTTGCTGGTGTGCTCAATGAAATTGAGATCCCTCGGCAAATAAGAAAAAGTGTGCAGAAGATCTAATAAAACAAATACATTTATAAGAGACGATCTCTAAAATCACAAATCAAAAGAAAGAGGTATAATGGAAACAAGGGAAAGTTTTTAAGTTTTTTTTTTTTACCATCTTGAGTAACAAGGGGGTAATCAGAGGCACTGAGGTTGATGAACCAGTCCCATTCCGCGCTCTTGCGCAGGAGAATAGCTGCAGCGTGCAGAGTGTTTGCGACCATGGTGGGGCCTTTATAAGTCACCAAATTGGCCTTACTCATCACCACCACATTCCCCACCTTCGAAAACACATCCTCTTCGCGCACATACTTTTCCAGCTCCATTCTCTCTGCAGGAGGAGACTCCAGGTCCAAATGCACGGCGTAGAAATTGAGCGGGTGATAGAGAGCCTGAAGCGTTCTCTTCAGTCTCTCTCCATCCCCTTTCGAGCCCGATATCAGATATGCAAAGCGAGGAGGAGATGGCAACGAAGAAGAAGAAGAAGAAGCAGCAGTGAGTTGCAGGAACTTCGATTCTACAAAGACGGTCTCCGAAGAGTCGGAAGAAAAGGGGTTGTAGGGGATGAGAGAGAAAGAGGAGAGAAAGGCAACATCAGTTGTGAGGAAGAGGAGGAAGAGAGAGGAGATTGACAAGGTAGAGAGAGGGAGAATCCATGTCTTTCTCTCTATTGCCCCACCACCTGCTGAAACCATCTTCTTCATAATCCTCATCTTCAATCACCACCACCTCCTCCTCCTCCTCCTCCTCCTCCTCCTCCTTTCGCCTGCTCTGGAAGAGAGAGAGAGAGAGAGAGAGAGGGGTAGGAGGAGGTTTGGTTGAATGGGAAGCAGATAAGGTTTCTCTGTCTTTTCTCGCTCCCTCTTTCTGACCAGAGGAGAGAGAAGAAAAGAGGACGTTGTTACGTTGGTTACGCAACCGTTGGCTCTCATGCTTGGATTACATCGATGGAGAAATTCCCGACCCAACTGTTTGTGTCCTAACCATTAGTTACGTAGGAAGACCACATGGAAATAATGCCCAATCAAGTATTATGCTATAATTATTAGATAAGGGAAAATTAATGGGGTTGCAACCTATAATTTTGGTGTAAAAAGTTATCAAGATGTTCTAAAACTCTATTTTTTTATCTAATTATAAAATTTTAAACTTTGAAAATGGTTAAAATCAAGTAGATCTATAAACATTTAAAAATCTTGAAAATAGTTGGTCGGGATAATACATTGCAAGATGCATTGTTTTTAAGACTCGAAATCTTTTTTATTTTATTTTTCATATTCATACATCTTGATAACGAAATGATCAATTTTTATTTTATTTTTCAAAAATTAATTAGGTAACGCTTCTTGATGTTGTGAATAAGTTCTTTTGCACCTCTAAGAAGGGGAAGAAGTAGTGACAATTTATTGTAGATTCCTAAGTAAAATAATTTCATTATATACCATAGTTATCATGATTAGGCCGAATTGATGATCCGATCAATGAAACTGCTAACCAATGCCTTGACCAATCTGGTTTAAAGTAAAAATTGAGTTTGGTCACAACCATTATTTAATTTGCTTATCTAACATGTCAGTTCGACTTACCAAACAAATTTAAGTAATATATTTTATTAATGGGTTATGTTAAGGTGCTCATACTATAAAGTAATTTATCATTGTAATCAACAAATTTTGAACACTTATATACCTATGTTTTATAGATAGAATTTTTTTCGTAAGAGTATTTTTTATCATTAAGAAGGGTGTGAATCATCCACATTGGGTATGACATCACCTATATAGAGCAATAAATACCACTAGTGTACCCCATATACGTGATGTCACACCTTATGTGAATGATGTCACCCCCTTCTAATGATTATTAATATTCTTCTTAATAAATATTTCATTGACAAAACAATGTTATATAAGTGTCCAAAATTTCTTAGATACAATTATAAATTGTTTTATAGTGTGAACACCCTAACATAACCATTTATTAATATATGGTATATTTCTGTAACATTATACAAATTTCTGTTTATTCTTTAAAATTTAGTCAACATTACATACCAAAGGAGTCCCCTCACCAATTAGATGACCACTAATGGGATCCTAACAACACTATTGTATCATTGGTATGGCAGAAAAGAAAAATAAAACATTTTACATTACAACTTTTCTAGCTTATTAAAAAACAATACTTTAAGTGAGTAAAGCACATAACTTCCTCGTGGAAGAGGGGAAAAGGAAATTAAAAAACAATGAAAATAGGGAAACCATAGAGAGGATATGATCAAGAGGCAGATCCCCATATTTGTCTCCTCTAAAAGAAATTAATTACTTTTTAAACATCTCCTCGAACTGTATATCAAGGAGTGTCTTATATCACAATACGATTTTTTAAAGAAGAAAATCCCATTTCTTGAAATTCATTAATTTTCAAAAGACATTAAGACTCCTTTTTATGGAAGCAATATAAACGCTTGATTTTTCTTTCCTCAAAAATTGCTTTCCGGTTTTTTTTTTTTTATAAGGTTATATAGGAATGGAACTTGAGACGTTAGGCTATGGAAAATTTTCTTCCCAATTTTCTTCTTTTATTTTTAAATTTTTTTTTGGAAACTTTCTTTAGTCTTTGAACTTTACGCCTAGTAAAAGTAGAATTAAATCAATAACCTTGGTTTAACCAAAAACATTTACCAACGTACAACCCAAGGACATGTCTGCCGTATAAAATGTATTCCCAAAAGAAACTACTCATCAAACATTCGAAGAAAAACAAAAAACTGCTCATCAAAAATGTTCTCTAGAAAGGAAATATATTCCTAAGAAATAGTAGAGGTAGAATTAAATCAATAATATTCGTTCATTTTTTTTTTTTTATTTAAACATTTTAACTACATTTTTAAGCAGAATTGTGAGGTATGGCTGTACTTTTTCTATACGTAGTATGAACTTGTCCCAATCAAAATTGTGTGGTGCTCGAATCTCATCGTACGGAGAAACTTGACCCGGTAGCTTGGGTCAACTTTGTCTACCTTTCAGTAGGTTGAAATTTTTGGGGCAAATACGATGATTTGGGGTCATGCATATCCTTTTCAACAATTCGGGTAAAGTGAGTCAACTTGGGGCAAGAGTTTATCCTCAGTGAATTATCAAAAAAAAAAAAAGACTCAAAAC